GTTGCTCCCGCGCCTCGCTCAGCCAGTGAGTGGGAACTGGTCTGTATGTGGGATCCGAACCCTCGGGCGGGAGCGCCGCCGCGCTTCCCAAGCGGTGCACTTATCCAGTGCGCCACCGGGCCGGCCCCATGAACTGTACTTTTGAAGACTTCAGTAAACGTTTTCTTGTTGTTGCTCTTAACTAAATGGTTCTACTAAGTCTCCACAAAGGGAATAAAGTAATCAATGTTGCTGATACCTTGGTTGTACTGATACCTTGGCTGTGCCAGCCTATTACTCAGGTTGATAAATAGATAGCACCAGGTAAAATTAGATTAAAATCAGAAGACTAAAATAAAGAAGCAATTCACAGTTGCCTTAACTCATCAATATCATTAATTGTCTCCACACCATTTGATGAAAAATAGCAGGTTGCCATTCCTTATGCTCATGGAGTCTGATAGCCACACAGCATCTTTGTGTCTACTCTAAGAGCTAATATACTCAAGAGCTGAGTTATTCAGCTAAGGAAGTTGTAGTTAATAACCAGTGGCATACAACTTATCCTTTCTTTTTTCATCTCCTCAGAGCTCTGGGTCTGCTATAGAATAGTGAGATACTATGGAAGAAAGTGGGTATCAGATATTGATGGGTGGCAGTACATTTCTTTAATTTTTTATATGTTTTGCTTAATAAAGTGGTAATTCAAGTGGGCAACTTGAGCTGATGCCTTCCTCGAGTAGAAGTGTTTTGTTGGCTTCTGTTTTGTACTGTAATAACAATAAAAGACATTTTAGAAGTTTAAAAATATAAATTATTATTGAGGCCCAACTAAATCTCATTGTAATAGTCTGATTAGGCTACCATAACAAAATACCATAGACTGGGTGGCTTAAATAACAGATGTTTATGTTTTGGAGGCTGTGAAGTCTAAGATCAAAAGGCTGGCTGACTTGGTTCTTGATGAGGGCCCTCTTCTTGGCTTGCAGATGGCCACTTTCTTGTGGTGACCTCACATGGTGGAGAGGGAGTGCTCTGGTGTTTCTTCCTTCTCTTATAAGAGCACTAATTCCCTCCCTGAAGGTTCCACACTCATGATCTCATTTAAACCTAGTTATCTCCCAATGACCACCTTCAAATACTGTCACATTGGGCATTAGGGCTTCCACATAGGAATTTTGGAGTGACATATCATCCATAGCACTCATCATTTAATGCAAATATAACACATCTAACTGAAGATTTTTAAAATTGTGTGTGTGCCTATAATGACTTTCCTTTCATCAAGCTCCTTGCTCAGATTCTTGTACTCTGTTGAATGCAATTACATTTTCTTGAACCAGTCCTAGTGGATACTTCTATGGCCATTTTATCATTAAATACCATATCTATAAAGACAATTCCAGAGTTGCATTAGTTTGTTTCTGTTGCTTATAACAAAATACCTGAAACCAAGCAATTTATAAAGAAAACAAAATGTATTGCTTACAGTTTCCGAGACTGGGAAGTCCAAAGTCCAGGGAACATATCTGGTGAGAGCCTTGGTGGTGGTGATTGTAATGGCAGAGTATCACATTGCACAAACGGTGGAGCAGAGAGAGACTAACCTCCTCATGTGCTCTCCTTTCAAAGCCCTTCAAATCATGCCATGGCCATCATTTTAAATTTATTCACTATGGCATGGTCCTACAATCTAATCACCTCTTCAAGGCCCCACCTTTCAATTGCCATAATAGGATATCCCATGCTCTTAACACTGTCACAGTTGGGGGGTAAGTTTTGGGGGCACACTCAATCCAAGGGAATGGTTTTACTTCCCTTACTCTCTACCTATATTTTCAATAAGATTATATTAGATTTGGAGCCAAATAATTTGTACTTTGCTATGTTCAGTTTCAAAATCAGAAACCAAAATTAACTTTTTAAAATCTTTTACATAATGTCTAAATCTGATAACTTTCTACTTTATTAACTTTTAATATTGCATTAGTAAATACTATTTTTCCCCAAGCCATCATGAACTACAGACATACAATAATTGAAGTCTTATGATAAGATATCTATAATTTAATAAAAACATAAAAACAACAAATAAAAAAAAAGCCTAACTTAATTCTAAAACTTACATAATTTATCAGAATATAACCATCTGGGAATAACCAAATTCATTGTCTTTTTTATATTAAATTTGTCTCTTTCACATTATAATTATATATACAGATTGAAAGAGTCCTTCCCTTATTATTACCACACACTTTATTGATAGCCACTTTTCATCTTCAGGAAATTTTATACTACAGATAGAATTATTTGTTAAAAATGAATTGAAGCAATATTTAAAATTTTTAAGGAATAAATAAAGGGGGTAGGGAGGAGTGTAACATCATTGAACTGCTGTGTTGGAGTCAGTCACTTGAAAGTTATGCATGTAAATAAATACAATTTTATAAAATTTAATTCAGCAAAATTGAACACAGACAGGATATTATGGCATTCTCCTAAATATCACTTTTGTGTCTTTGCTATTCTTCATAGACTGGTATCCCATGCATGCTATCCACTTTTCAAGGACCAAAATGCCACCAATAATGTCTGTGCCATGGAAAGTAGGTCTG